TGAGTCTCTTGTCCTTTGCATTGGCCAGGCCTCCAAGGCATAGGCTTGACCACCCGGTGTGCAGCAGGACTAGAGATCATGCCAAGGGCAGAGGGACCACTCTTAGTCCTCGTTCCCTCACCCAAACCAGTGCTGAGGACCCCACAAGGGGTGGGCATGGGTACCATTGGCTTCTTCCATCGCTTGGTTTTTGTGCTGCCCACTCTGGTCCCTAGCACTTGACACTTGCTTGCTGCCTAGTTGGACCTGCTGCATTACAGGCTCTGGACCACTCTGCTTACTGGGAGGGTGAGTAAATAGAAACGCTGTGCCCCTGGAGATGCTGGCTAGCCAGATGGAGCATGGCTTTATTGGTGGGGCCAGGGCTGAGATGAGACCTTTAAGAGGCTGTGCTTGCCAGCTCCTCTGAGTCTCTGTGCTCAGGATGCCCCTCATGAGCTGGCAGAGTCTGACCATGGAGCCTTCAGACAGCAGAGGATCCAAGCAGAAGGGCTGAGTTAGTAGTAGAGTCAGGCAGTGGGCTTAGAGTCTTCTCGCCCTACCTAACTTCCCTTCCAGGTACTTGTACGCCCCTCCCCCACACCCATCCGTGCTCATATCCACCCTCCACCCTACTGTGCATCACTAACCTCCCCATTCACCCACCAGCCACATCCACCCACTCATTCACCTTCCGGTGGTTGAAATCATCAACCACCCATCCAGCTATCTGTCCATCCTTCCATCCATTCATTCTTCCATCTATACACCCATTCATCTATCTATACATCCATCTAATCATCCATCCATCCGTCCATCCTTCCATCCATTCATCTATCCATCCATCCAACCATTTGTTCATCCATCCATCCATCCGTCTATCCATCCTTCTGTCTGTGCATCTGTCTGTCTGTCCGTCCATCCGTCCATCCATCCATCCATCCACCCATGTATCATCCATCATCCATCTTTCCATCCATTCACCTATCCATCTATCCAACCATCCCTCCCTCCCTCCCTCCATCCCTCCATCCATCCATTCTTATATCCATTCACCCATTCATCTATTCATCCATCTGTTCATCCACCCACTCATCCATCCATTCACCCATCCATACAATGATTCATCCATTTTCTTGTGCACACAGCCACCTGTCTACCCAATCATCCTTTTATCTTTTTCCCATCTTCTTTCTTCACAATTACTTTTCTATCTGTCTGACTCTTATTCCTTCTGTCCATCCATCTACCCATATGTCTTTCCACTAAACCTCTTTTGGTAGCTGGGATGGTGGATAAGCCTGAGTCAGTTCTTCTTCTTGAGACCACACAATCTTGGGGTGCAGGCCACAAGCACACCTTTGTTTCAGATGTTGCTATGAAGTTTATCCTTGGTCCTTCAAGAGGGCAGGTGCCAGAGAAACTTCTGGAAGAGGACTTGGGGCCCACTCATAGTGTACTTTCTAATTTGAATTACCACACACCTCCTAACCCAGTTCCATACTGCAACTGCAGAAGGCTATAGGGTAAGACACAGTGTCCTGAATCCAGAGGCCCAGGGCCAGGTTCCCCCATCTACGGGGCGGTTTGGTCCCTTCGGTAAGGGCCTTTGCTTTCTGTACCCCAATCCTACCCCACCCCCATTAGTGAGCTCCAGGGAGGTAGTGCATGGGACACATATGAGCTTTATTACACACAGTGTGGGTGCTGGTGCAGAGGGGTGCATCAAAGGGCAGGGAGGGGTGTGGGGTTGCCCTGGGGGCCAGCAGGCTGCCAGGCCTTGTTCTGCTTGGCCTCAGTCTCTGGCCTCCCAGGAGCACTCGGCTGCCCAGCACCAGTGATCCAGCTGGAGCCAGCCTCTCCTTCTCCTGGGGTGAAAGGCAGAGCTGGGAGGGAGCAAGGAATGGGAGGGAGGGAGCTGAAGGGTCCAGCAACAAGAGGGGTGGCCGCAGTGATGGTGTGGGTCAGTGGCGGGCAGGCAGGCCAGGGCAGCCTTTGGGAGCAGCTTCTTTGTGGGGCCAAGCGGGCTCGGGTCAAGACTCAGAGGTGATTCTGGCTGCACCCCAAGTCATGGAGGCTGAAATATAGTTTAGGGTGAGGGACATGGGTATTAGTCAGGGGTCAAGGGAGTTTGCTGTCCGCCAGCCTCTAAGGCTCTCTCTGGTGGTCATCTGGCCTGGATCACTGCCCACCCCCCACCCGTCCCAACTGCTCAGACCACTGACATGCTGCCCCTGCCTCCCCATAGCCCCCTTCCTGGCAGTCTGCTCCCTGAGTTGGGGTCCATGTCTGCGGCCTGACTCCCTCCTGTTTGTTGTTCCTGGGGTCCTGGATGGCAAACAGGGAGAGCCAGACCCAGGGGCAGGCCTCACCAGGCCCCTCTCCACAGATCCACTTCAGACCGGCAGAGCCAGCCCCTACCCTGGGGCCCCCAGCCCTCCCCGGCCTCCCTCCTTCTCCAAACCAGACAGCCTCTCGCTCGGCCGAGACGTCATTTGTCAATGTCCTTACAAACACGTGCCCAGAAAGCAGGGTGGGCGGCGGTTCAGCCAGGACCACCCCAGCCCAGGGTTCTGCGGGAATATCCCATTTAGCATAGCTCAGCGGAAACTGCTCCCACCTTCCTACCACTTCACCTCTGGTGTGCACCTCAGCTTCCCGAGGGGCCCGCTGGCCGCCACCCCTACCGCGGGCTCCCGGCGGCGCCTGTGGTCGAGCTGGCGGCAGCGTGGCGCCCCTCACGTGTCTGCGGCCAGCAGCTCGGCCAAGCACCGGCCCCCCCAAACCCTCCCCTCGCCCCACTCGGCAGAGCCCACCCTCGGGCCCCATCCCTGCCCGGCCACCCACGTGGCCTGGCTCCTGCTGTGCACACAGGCGGCGCCCACTTGGTGCTGGCAGGTCACCTGAGTAGGGCAGGGCTGGGCCTCTGTGGGCTCCTTTCTAGCCAGTGGTCTGAGGAGACACAGACCGGTAAGGCCAACTGGGAGGTCTGAGGGTCATCAATGGGCCAGTCATGTCCACTTGGTTGTAGCGGAGCTTGGGAGGTGGGGGTCGCCCTGACCACTGTGTTCCCCCATGATACAGGATGCCCATCTCTGGCACAGGCTGCCCCAGCTCCCGGGGCCCCCCTGGTGTGCCCCCACCCCTGCTGCCCAAGCCGGGCAAGGACAACCTACGGCTACAGAAGCTGCAGAGGAAAGCAGCCCGGAAGATGAGCAGTGGGGGACAGTGTGGCCTGCCAGGGGCCTTCCGGGTCTCCCTGTCCCCTGTGAGTGAGGCCAGCCACGACCAGGAGACCATCACCCTATGTCCTGCCAACACGCACTCCATCATCCCTCACCTCGCTGCCCCGCGCCCTACTGAGGGTCCCCATGTGGTGGTCGCCCCACCCTGCTCCCCCCACACATCGGTCATCCACCACGGGCCATCAGTGCTGCAGAACTCTGCCTCCTCCTTCAGTATGAGCCAGTACAGCAGCCTGACTGTTCACTTCAAGACCACAGAGCCTGTCTGGGTTCCCGTCTTGGCCCCGGAGGCAGGGGACACCCATGTCAGCCAGGTTCAGATCCAACTCGCCCCCCATCAGCAATCTGGGGTGTCCGAATGCCCCAGAAGTGATAGAAATGCATCCTTGCCCACCCCAGGCACCCAGCCCCTGATTCCAGTGGCCCATATCCGCCCACTGCCCACCAGGACCCAGGGCACCAGCCCCCAACCCGAGGAGGCCCCTGTACCCAGGCCTCAGCCTGGCTTCCAGTCCTCTGCGCCCAGAGAGGTGGGCACTCGGATAGTGGTGCCCATAGCCCCGACCTACCGTTCCCCAGGGCCCCCGGCTCAAAGCCTGGATGCTGAGGCCCCTGAACCCATGGAGCCCCGTGTGGCTGACCCTGGGACTGAGGAAAAACGGGTTTTCAGTCCCCCCATGGCCTCATCCCCTGCCCCACCATTGGGCCCCCACCCTTGCCCTGTCCCCCAAGTGGCCCCCAAGCCCAGACTCAGTGGCTGGATGCGCCTTAAGAAACAGATCATGACGACCACAGAGGAGCCCCCGGCCTCGGAACAGGCGCAGGGCTTGGGGGCAACGCAGCAGCTGGAGGAGGAGCAGGCTGTACCATCACATCTGCTGCCCCAGCCTCCAGCCTCCCGGGCCTCCACCCTGTGGGATGCTGTGCTTTATCGTATGTCAGTGGCCCAGTCCCAGGGCCACATTGCAGGGCCTGGCGAAGGGACACACACCCTGGCTGGCCTCCCTCGGCTGCCTTTTGTGTGCCGACCCCGCTTCAACGCCCGCAAGTTGCAGGAAGTAGCCTCAAGGTCTGCCCCTGGGTCCCTTCCGGTCCTGGAATTGAACCCCAGGTCCAAGAACTTCAACCGGACTGCAGCCGGCTGGCGACTCCAGTGAGGCAGCCAGGAGGGCTCTAGGTAGCAGGACTGAGGGCAACAGAAAGATGGCCTGAGCTGGGCCATGAGGGCAGCCTTACCAGTGGGGGTGCCAAGGAGGGGAGCTACTGGGGGATCCAAGGCCTGGGAGGGACTGGGAGGGACAGGTCAGGGGAATGAGGGATGTGGGGGACATAACCTCACGCACTGGAGTGGAGGGAGACAAGTTAGGAGCAGGGTTTTGGGATCAGATGGGTTTGGTGAGTTGGGGGGCGGTGTTCTTCTGAGAAGGGCCCCAGAAGGGGTGCACATGGGATAGTGTAGGGACACTGAGGAAAATGACCAGGGACAAGAAAACCCCAAGTCTGCCGTGAGGCAGCGGGTCAGAGTTGGCCTCCATGAGGGTAGCTGGGAGGCATCACGGGTATGTGTGAGGGGGGAGCAGGGAGCTGGTTCTGCCAGAGAGGTCTGGGCCAGGGGTTCAAGGTTTGGGGAGGGGTGGGGGTAGGGCCATGAGCCTTGAGGTGCTGCCAGACCAGCTTGGTCTGATTAACCCCTGGCTCAGCAGGAGGGGGCTCGTGGGCCCAGACTCTACAGCTTACCCCCACCCCCGCCCGGCTGTGAACAACTCGGGGACAGATTTATGTTCGCGGTGGGAAGCGGGAGCGGTCAGGGTGATTCAGAGCTCGGCTCGGTCGGCCCTGACGGATGGCCGGGAACCAGCCCCGGGCTGGGGGCTCAGGAAGGAGGCCCCGAGGAGGGGCTGGGGGCCCGGACCCAGTGGGAGTTGGCAGGGACATGGTGTGCTCAGACTTCAGGCAGGAAGGAGCGGCCTCAGTCCTGGGAGGAGGAGGGGTTGTGGTCAGGGCAGGGAAGGGGATCACAGGCCTCTTGTGTTGGGGGCTCCAGCCTGCAACAGCCAAAACCCAACTTGGGGCCAGTGCCTGGGTGGGGGTGCCAGCCAGAAGAGGTTAGGGAGACAAGGAACTAGGGGAGGCAGTGGACTTGGGGATCAGTGCCTGTGCCAGTGAGAATGTGGTGAGAGGGCCAAGGAGCTAGGGGAGGTAGCAGGACTTGGGGGGAGGCCACAGTTGGTGGGGGCCAGCAGCGGTCCTACTGCCCATGAAGCCAGGGACCCAGGCCACTAATAAATACGTGTCCAACCAAGGCCTTGACTCTTTGCTGTCTCGTCACAAGGCGGTGGAACCCAAGATCCTCCAAGGTCCTGACCCTTTAAAGACCCTCAGCCCACCGAGGTGGGGATATAGGACCCAGGCTCCTGAGTTTATCCTTCTACTGCCAGTGATCCTAGGCCCTGTAAAGCCAGGCTGGCCCAGATTGGCTCGATCCGGTACAGAGGGTGACACTTCCCCACGGACAGCCAAGGTGTGCTGGCCAAACCAATGGGGTCCAAGCCTTTTGGCCCAGACAGCTAAGGCTGGGCCTCCACCAGACCCCAGGCCGGGCACTCACCCCTGAGCCCTGCCCCGGCAGCCAGCTAACACACCGTTGTCTTGGACTCACCAGGTTCACTGACCTAGATATGTACGTCTTCGTTCATAGGCACTTTTTCGTACTTTCCATGTCCCGTGGCCACAAACTTGTACCGCTTCCCAGACGGGGTGCTCTGTTGAAAGGAGGGCAAGAGGGCAGGGGTGAGGCAATGCTGCCTCGAGGAAGCCCTCCAGGGGGCATCTAGGACGGCCTCCTTGGCCCTCACCCACTCTACCCACCCTGCCCCTGCTCCAACCACCTGGCAGGCCCCACCTTAATTGTTGACGAGGTCTTGGAGCTGCCTCTCTGTTCCCAGAGGTTCCTCTTGCTCATATCTCCAGCAACAATGTCCTGGGAGCAGAAGGAACCAGGGTACAGACATGAGGTTACAAATCTGGACGCTCCTCTCGTGGCTGGCCAACCCACCTTTTTCTCAGTGTGAGAGCCCAGTGGAAGAGCAAGGCACTAGCTTTAGGCACCATCCAGTGTTCACCTTGTTCATCCTCATTCTTACTGCGTTTGACACCCAGAAGCCCATCTGGTTGACCCCAGCCAGCTCCTGCCCCAAGCCCCACTGCCCTGTCCACCACATTTCATTCTAGTTGGTCTCACGCTTGCTTTTTCGACAGTATCAAGTCTACTGCTAAGCTCCTAAGTTCTACCCTCCTAACTCAGCCATGCCCATGGGAAGAGGTCCTACCTTGCAGGAGGGGCTCTTGGCTGTAGACTGGGTCTGCATCTCTCCTGTCTCCCACAGACTCTTGGTACTGGCCACAGCCATGCTGGGCAGCTCTATGGAGGGCTGGCGGGTTAACTTGGGGGTCCGGCCAGCAGTCTGAGAAGAAGAGTAAGTCCCAGGAATCCTTTAGTGGAGGGCTTCCTTCCATGAGACACATCAGGTCTCAAGAGACCCTTCGGGACACACACAATGTCACCTCTGTCTTTTTAGTTGACTGGGGCAGGGGGGTCTCTCAATGTGTACCTTCACTGGGACACTGTGGAACATGCCTTCTCTTGGGGTACACAGGTGATATGGTGGAGTGTTCTCTTGTGGTTCATGGCATGGGGCTGGAGGAGGGTGGGTCAGTGTGGGAGGTGTGGGCTGGTGGGGGATCCTGGGTTGGCAGAGAAATGTGGATGGGTCAGGGAGCATGGGTTATGGAGGACTTTGTGTTGGTGGAGGGGTGTGGGCTTCAGGAGGTCTGTGGGTTGGGTGGTGGTGCCTGGGTTTGTGGGGGAGCATGGGTTGGGTGTAATGGAGGAGTTGGTAAATGAATAGGTGCACAGATGGGACAGACTATTTGGCTGCATAGGAAGAGAGAGCTGGTCTACCTCAATAGCTTGGGTGTATTGCTCCAGCCGTTCATCAATCTTGGAGACAGGCAGGGTTGGTTCAGACTTCTTCACATTGTTACTGGAAGGTAGGAGACGTGTCAAGCTCCATGCCACCTGCCTTTTCTCTGCCAGAGTACACCAGACCCTAATCCCGCTCCTCAGCCCCTCACAGATAAACCTCAGTTCTGAGCCTGGGTTTGCTCAGACCTACCTCTTTTTTATGGAGCGATTCAAGGACTCGGTCCTATCGATGAGCTATGGAGAGTGGAAGAGAAGGTGAGTCTGACTCCAGAGCAAGGCTGCGAGTCTAAGTAACAGGAGTGTGGGATCTGTTGGGAGACTTGAGTGGGACTGGTTTCTACACTGAGCTCCCAACTTTGGAGAAATTCACAACACAAAGAGAACCATCTCCCACAAGCTCCAACTGAAGGGACAAGAAGTGACCCTTATCTTAGTAGGTCAGTCCATCTTGGGACAACTTTGCCAAATAGAAACTTTGGCTCCATTTGACCTGAGACTTATCTCCTGTTGGCTTGTGCTCGTGTGCTGACCTTTGGCCTTTGCTGCTTGTGTTCCAAATGCCAACCCCACCATCTATTCAACCTCACTTTTATCCATCCATTGATCCACAAATCCAGCCTTCTTTCAATTTATTCATCCATCACCCATCTTTCCATCTATTCACCATTCAGCCACATTTTCTTCTTTTCAACCATTTGTCTTTCTTCCCTCCTTCCCATCCCTACCTTCTACCCACCTAACCACCCATC